GAGGTGGTTTTGCATCTCTCGTCTCCTCGCGTGCTCGACTGATCGTTAGCTTTGTTTAGTAAACTCGTTCTGTGAGATAATTTTAGGTTCGGATTTGTCTGAGAGTCTCTGTCAAACAGGACTGCTCCGTTTAAGTTTTGGGCTTTTTGTGGACTATTTCCGTTAGTGTTCCCAGCACCTTCTGGCCTGGCGTTTTCTGTTAAACCTTATGTAAATAGCTCCTTTGTTTATTCTTATGTAAATATCCCCTTTTATTATAAATACACTTGGTCCACTTGAGTTTTGTAATAAAATCCTTGTTTATAGTGACACACGACTTTGTTATTACTTAAGCCTGACACGTTTTAATTACTCCCTCCACCTCTTCACTCCTAGCGAGCTAGAGGACGTAATAATCGATTTGAAAGCAGAATCAACTTTGCCATCCAGTTTGAAACCTACATTTTAAAACAGACTGATTTTTTTTAAAAGGACCCAATACTGAGCCATGCAGAACCCCACATGATAAATGAATCAGAGCATGAACAGACAATGTTCAGATTTATTTATTTGTGTAGTAACAGGTGTTTGGCATCAACAAATACCATACACCTTAATATTTATTGCTCTAAGCCTGGTTCACACAGCAAGATTATTAAATTGTTGGACCATTTTCAAAACACAACAGACTCCCAAAACACCAGACAAAACAGTTTTGGTTATATTGTGTGTGGTGTGTGGCAACATGGCAAAAAACAATTGCACCCACAAACATTCTTTGGCCCATGACTGCCATTTGTACTTACCTCTAGATGTGGTCACACGATAAAAAAGTTTTGGACTGTCTGGCAGAAATGAAGATATGGTTGGCAGAAAACTTCCCGTGTCTCAATGGGAAAAAAACAGAGGCACTGTTGTTTGATCCGAGCGGACATGTTGATTTTTCAAACGTAGACTGGGGTGAACTGAACGCCTATTTGGGTGTTTTAGCAGTCAACCTTGGCGTGAAGATGGACAGTGCATTCTGCATGGATGCTCATGTGGGTACTGTAGTATCCTCTTCATTTTATCATTTAAGACGTTTGGCTAAAGTAAAGCTGTTTTTATCTAGACGTGACCTTGAGACTGCTGATCATGCTGTTATTACCTCACGACTCGACTATTGCAATTCCGTTTTATTTGGTGTAAGTAAGGGTACTGTAACCCGGCTGCAGCTTGTCCAGAATGCTGCAGCAAGATTCTTGGACAACAAAAGGAAGCATGAACACGTGACAACATTTTTGGCTGCTCTCCACTGGTTACCTGTTGATTTTAGAATTCGTTTTAAACTTCCTTTAATGGTGTTTAAGGCGCTGGATGGTGTGGCTCCAACCTGTTTGACGGAATTGCTGCTACCATATGTTCCAGCCCGGTCACTCCGCTCAGAGAACCAGCTGCTGCTTGTGGCTCCTAAGGCTAAGTTGAAGTTGAGAGGGGACAGGGCGTTCTGTGTTGTGGGTCTGAAACTGTGGAACACACTGCCCCTAACTATTAGGGGCTCTCCATCAGTAGCAGTTTTTAAAATGAGGCTGAAAACCTACTTTTTATGATCTGGCTTTTAATTCTGTGGGTTAGCAATTGTTAATGTTTTATATTTTGCAATTCTTATTTGTGGTTTTAATTATGTCTGCGGCGCTATATGTTTTATTGTTTTATTCTTTTGTTGTACAGCACCTTGATGGCATGCTCATGCCTGTAAGGTGCTTTATAAATAAAGGCTGAGTTGAGTTGTAGTGGAATTTACCTTATTTATTTAATTGTTCTTTGATTTGTGGTTCTGACTTTTATTGTTTTACTTTATCTTATTTACTGATAATTTTATTGTTATTGTACCTGCCTGTGTTTTAAATGCGCTGGATAAATAAAATGGTCTGGTATGCGAGTCCTTACTTGTTGTTTGTTACTACTGTAAACACCACGCTCAGTCTCGTTCTTGCGACTTAAATTAACCTACTATTCATTTGATCAGTTATATTACACAACTGTGGTGAACCGTTGCTTTGTTATAGGGTGAAACACGCGATCGCCAGGGTAATAAAGGTGAAAAACGGGTAAAATTGTCCACCATTTTCCTGCATTGGGGCACAGCCACGAGACCAAGTTTCCAGCATAGCGAAGTCTCGTCGGCTCGCTTGGAGTATTTTCATTCTGGAAAGTTACAAAGGGTGTACTTTTTTTTTAATATATCGTTTCTTTCCTTCAACCGCGACATGCGCACACAACACACACACACACATAGGCTACACACATACCAGTAAGCTAATGCACGCGCTGACACACAACACAGCTTTTCCTGCTACACTTCTTTTGTGGATAACGATTTTGATTGTTTTCCTAGAAAAAACAGCAAATGAAACATTTACCTCTCATCTGAACGTTTATATCCGTCACACCACAAACAAGAAAACCAAAAATATCCATTATGCAGAACTGCGGTGGCAACAAGTTGTCGTCAGTGCTCGTCTTGGGTCTTTCATGTGGATTCAAAAAGTTTATATTGCTGATTTTGTCCACGTTCCGGCTCTCGGTGTCTTCATTTAACGTATCCCTGTAAAAATTTACATCCTTTTTTGGGATTTTAACATGTTTAACACTTCCCTTCACCCAAATCCACTTCTCCTCTGCGCCATACTGTTTGTTTTCATGGTTTGTTTACTCTCGTAAGGCCATCAACATGTCTGCGCACATCCCAGAATGCTATGTGTAATCACGCATGATCCCAAGTCCTATTACTGGACAACCCACTCTACCTCCTGAGATACTGCTTCCGACATTCAATGGGGAGAATGCTCGTTTTTCCTCTAAACCAGTATTTTAAACAGGTGCATCCTTAAGACTGTTGGAAAGGGAGATTTGGGTCAAACATTGGTATAATTATCTTGCCAAGTGAACCGGGCCTAATTTGCAGTCTCTGTCCCTAGGAGGCTTTTGGTTACACAAACTAGTGAAAACATCACTCTAGCTATGACCTGAACCACTCCAGGGCAGAATCATGAATCCTTACAGTTCTCTGTATGAGATAAAATAACATTGTTGCCCACCATGTTAAAGGCAACAGTCAAAACCGAAAGCGTTAGCCCCTCTAGTCCATTATAGCACAATTAAAAACTCTTGACAAAGCAGATTTGACGTTATGAAGAGGTTTAAATCCTGGTTTAAAGACCTGTGGGACATCACTGTCTTCTAAAAAGCTTTTCATTAAATGTAAACAAATTTCTCAAGATTTTTTGGACAGAGGGAAGCTTGGAAATAGGCTTATAATTAGATCTACAATATGCAACCAGAGTTTTATTATCTTCTGTGTTGTACTTCTTTGTATTTATAATAAATTTTTCCTTATTTTGACATTTTTAAGCAATTTCAAAAGATCTCCTAAGAATAATAAATGTTATTTATTCTCAGCCAAGCGGGTTTTTACCCTTTTATTCACTTTACCTTTATGGTCACAAGAAGCTTGTTTAAAACACGCAGCAGAACAGCGGGAAACTGGGTGCACCCTTTTGAGGCAAGAGTGGCTGCATGCCATTTACAATATGTGGGGTTGATGAGAGCCATTAGCAGTGAAGTACACATGTGCCAAAAAACAAAGAGGTGCAAGAGGATCAAAACACGGAGCCACAAAGTAGGATGTTAAATATACTCCAGCATTCATGAATGTTGTCTCAACTTTGTGTGCAGAAAAACACCTGGTTGTCGTGGGAGATGGAGCAGGTAAAAACCCCTGGTGAAAGGTGTGAAGAGGAAAATGAGGTTTTACCAGAGCTTATGAGTAAACATGTGAGCATGAAGATTACGGGTCTGCGGGGTTATTGAGAAACTTTCAAACAAACCAGACATGCAGAAAAATATCAACTTTTACATTTCATAGTTGTATTTATTTATTTAAATTTTTTTGTTGCTGCTTCTTGAAACTTGAAATTTATTTTTATACTTTATTATCCTTTCACAATAAGAAAGAGCTCACGCTGACCTGGAAAGCCCCAGGCTGTTCATCTAATTAGAATATTTCATTGACTTTCACAGACTTCCCACTGTCTGCCCTCCAACTCTGACCCCAGATTTCACCTCTGTCTCCTTTACTTTCATTATGAATCATAACAAAACACACAAGACAACTTATCTGTGGATATATTTGAACATTCCGTGGAGCTGCGTTGATTTAAAAACTTTCTCCACTTTGATCTGGTCTATAATTGCACTGAGGCCGCGGTTAATTCCCATCTTCATCACATGTCTGACCAAACCGACTTGTGAGCTCTGACCTGGGGTTAGTCCAGCACACTCAGCAGGCTGAAGCATCAGCACGGGTTTCTGTGGAAATACCTTCAACAGGAATCTGTTTGATCTATTTGAATAAAAATAGTAACCATCTCTTTGAATTGAATGAATGTATTTGCAATATTCTTGTGGTGTTGATGTTTGCAGAGTGCCAGAAGTTGCTAATTATCTCATCTCATGTGGAAGTGGGTAAATTTGTTTTTCTATCATCCTGGATTCTAGCTTGACTGCTCCTCAGAAGGTAAATCTTTAGGTTCTTTACCTCATCTATTCAAATGTTGCATTAGGAAGGACGCTTTTGTTTTATTCAGACTCTAAATTCCTCAGAGACAGTATGACCTGTGTTAAAAAAATGCTTAATTATAAATCATGATTAAATCCAACTGAAACAGGCGGGAGAGCTGCGGGTGTTGAGCTGCTGAAGGGTGATGCTTTTCCACTTTTGATAAGAATCTGTTGACAGTTTCGGTTCATTGTTAAAAAAAGGAAAAAAAAAAAAAAAGAAGAAACTCGTATTTCCAGAGACCGAAAACTGCTTTTGCTTCCAGCTCTAGTTCTCTTCTCTTTCTAGTCACACTTGCCCACTCTTTCAGATAAACTACTCTGTATCACTCTGTCTGTCTCTCTTTTCATGCCTGCATCAGACTTTTTCCCTTAGAGACAAACACTGAGCCCCTCTTTAAATCATGTTGCCCTTCCTCCTGAACACACACACACACACACACACACACACACACACACACACACACACACACACACACACACACACACACACACACACACACACACACACACACACACACACACACACACAGCACAGGTCAATATGTGTGCTTAGCCCCAGCGAAGCTTAACTTTATTAGATGCAGTACTCCCCCGTTGAATAGAAAATACATTAGACCTGCATTGATCATCATCCACAGCTCAAGCCCAGGTTCCTTCAACATGGTCACAGCATTGTTAATGATGTTCTATACAGCAGCCATTTGACATTTCCTTTAATTATGCTTGTAATTTATTCATGCTCTTGATCCTAGATGCTTGTTGTGAAAAGCTTCCTCAAGGAATATATTATCCTGCTCCTCCTGAGGCTCATGGATTACCCGTCTTAGCAGCAAACCCCTAAAGGTATTACTTCCTTCACCGTATGCGAGTGTGTCTTTGTCTCTGTTTGTGCTCTCGTGGCATGCATATAAGTGACGAGCATTGTGCACTGGATGCTTTTCCTAAGCTGCAAAAGTCATTAGGTCTTAATTCTGAACCCTTCAGAGTGCTCACTTAAAATTATTCTGCTTTGACTTGATTTGGGGTGAGCGTTACAAAAAGAGTTGCAGCATGTGCGCTTTTTAAATTTTTCCTTTTTCTGCACAATGCAGCGACCCCCATGTTTAACCCAGTTTTGCAGAGAAAATATCACTTAATTTGCTCACTCTGTAGGTTGGTTAACAGGCAGTGAAGCAAAGCAATTTCCACACAAAGCAGATGAGGATATCTCAAATGGGCACACTTCAGATGGGATTTAAGATGTTAATTATGATGTTTTTTGATCAGAGAACACTGCTCAAATTCTGCCTGCTCACCTGACAGGAGATTCTGCAGGCTGCAGGAGCACGCTTTGAAGATGAGGAAGAGGAGGTGAAAAGACAGACATGCACACAAACGCACAGAAAGAAAAAAAGAATGGTAACGTACCATCTGTGAATGAAATGCAATTTGAAAATTGTGACTGGAGGAAACGGGTGAATTGATGATTGGTTCAAATGTTTATATTTGTTCTGAACATAAGTACATTTTGTTTATTCACATCTTCATTTCTTTTAACTATTTTAATAGAAAACGTGTTCTCACCTACAAGGCTGAGTCTTCTAAGTTTGACTTCAACATATCACACAGCTACTCATGGGGGTTAATTCTCTTTTCCTCCCTCATATCAGTGAGTGCATTAAGCTGTCTTCATCTCTTTGTTGACTATTCTGGGTGCCCTGGTTCATCAGCTGAGTTCCTTTCAACAGGAGACTAATGGGCCGACATTCGTTTTATTGCACGCTGCAGCTTCGTGGCTGCGGAAGATCAAGAACTTACTCTCCACTGATGCTGATTAGGAAGCCATGCTCAGGGCTGCTGAAGGGAAAGATCCACTTTGAGATAAATCCTCTTTTTTTGTCAATAAGAAACTTACTTGGCTGCAGAAGCGGGCTGCAAATAGAGCCATCTTGTGAGGTGTGACCTGGGGGGAATCCAGTACATTCAGTCCACCAGTCCATCTGTGTGTCCATCACAGACATGCAATAAAACTGGCTTGTCAGATATGTGCATTTTTGTATTAGCATTATTATGATTGTAATAACTACTATGTCCGCTCAATGCATTTCCCCTTTACATGCAGCTCTATCATTTGTACACGTCATATTTTGGTTTACTTTACACCAATCAGCTTTAACATTTTGACCATGAAATTTTGGCGGTTGCCACGTGGGAGGTGTAATTATTCTGTGAAAATGTTTATGTGGGTGGCAAGTGTCAAAGTAACATGCATGAGGATGCCAGAATGTTTTCTCAGCACAACACTGAGCTGTAACAGGATGAGCAGTTTCACTTGCTTTAACGGTCACTGATTACATATAAAATACACAACAAACAATATGTGAATATGTAGAGTTTAGGAATAATGGAGCAGTGAGCCATCATTGCAACTTAACACAACAGTAACACTACAACAGGAGTAGGCAGTCCTGGTCCTCGAGTGCCGCCATCCAGCATGTTTTAGTTGGTTCTCTTTTCGAACCCACCTGATTTTAATCAGTAGGTGATTAACAGGTTTCTGCAGAGCTTGAAATGGTCAACACGGGTGATTCAACCACTTCATTAGGTGTGTTGCAGCAGGAAAACAGCTAAAACATGCTGGGTAGCGGCACTCGAGAACCAGGATTACCTTCTGCGCTACGCAAAAAGCTGAAAGGAAGTTATTTTTTCAAAAGCAAAAACACAAATAAAGCTGTTAGCTGTAGGTCTGCTGTAAGAATCATAGCAGAATCTGTATTTTTTTTAGTTTTAGCATTTTAGCACAGAATGTAGCGTAGCACTTTAAAACTCCCATAAGACATTGTTTCAAAGAATTAATAATAAATTAAAACTGAAATCCAGATTATTTTTTATTTGATGGCATCATCTAGTGGCTGTCAAATGCATCACACTAAGCCATGGTTTCCACTTCTGTATTTCTGGCTGAAAGAAACACGTCTTGTTCATGAACGCGGTCCTGCAACCGACAAACAGAGCGGAAACACATTGTTTTAAAATAATTATGCTCATGTTATGTTGTGTTTTTATATATTTGTATATTAAAAACTTACTTATCCACGAGAAAGTCGCCAACTCGGCATCAACGAGCATGCTAACGCTGATGGCTAATGCTGACCAGATCTCAGTTCATACTGCATGAAACTCAACGGGACTAGGGGTAGGCTCAGCAAAAAATAAAAAGACGTACTGCCTGCATTATATTGCAGTACATAATATGACTGTCAAGTTGAGGTGTGGTAGAGCTGACCAGGAGGCAGAAATGCAGGCTCCGATAACATAAAATGGATTTAATGATAGAGGATACAGCAAGAGCAGCGAGACACCACAACAAACTACAACAACAACAACAATGATCTGACAAGGGACACATGCAAGATGGGAGGTATAAATACACAGGGAACAATCAGAAACACATGGGCAGGTTAACAAGGGGCAGGTGAGACCAATAAACAACAAATCAGGGGCAGGAGAGAGTAACCCCCAAATTCCACTAACTCCGCTCCGCTCCGGCACGAACTCCGCAGCAAAATCGGTCCCGTTGTAGTCAATCAGAGCAATTCCACTACTGCGGCCGTGCTCCGGCAGTGCGGCGCAGTGCGCCGCCCTCTGTTCCGGCGTCCGGCAAAAATAGAATCGATCCTGTTTTTGCCGGACGCCGGAGCACCTCCGCAGTCAATGGACAGAAATGACAACCGCCCAACAGGAAAAGGAGCAAGCACAACTTCCGTTATTTCACAATAAATCGATAAAAAGTGTTTTTTGTTTCATATGCACAGGTTTAACAACTTTTAACAACTATCAATGGCGGCTGAAGTTTAAATGCACAAAAGTAAGCCATAAATACAGTTTCCACTATCAAAGTATTCGCCCTTTGTTGATCTAAACACTGCTGATCTCTCAACACAAATGATGGGCAGATTAAACAGTTCATTTCGATGCTTCTCCCACACAACGGGTGTTTGGATATAGCTTCCGCGTTTTTTGCTCGGACTGTATCGCAAGATCTCGAAAATCCCGCGCATGCTTGTTTGTGCACCTCAGGTCTCCGCACCGGAGCGGAGCCGTTGTAGAGCGGGTACCAGTAAAAATTGAGTTCGGAAGTGAGCGGCTGCGGAGTGCGGGGGCGGAGCGGGGCGGACCCAAATTCCACTACCTCCGCGTTGAGTGGGAGAAGCATCAAAATGAACAGTTTAATCTGCCCATAATTTGTGTTGAGAGATCAGCAGTGTTTGGATCAACAAAGTGTGACTACCGTAAATCCTCTAATACAGGCCTGGGCCTGTATTTGACTCAAGCTCATCAAGCTCCAGGCCTTTATTGGAAGGAGGGCCAGAATTAGAGGCAGGCCTCTATTTCTATTTGAGCAAAATGAACTAATGGTTCGCTGGAGTTTTTGACAATTAAAATTGCGCCCACATTTTCAAAGTTAAACACATTTCTTTTAACAACGGTAGTTTCTGCTTCAGCCATCTCCCCCCTCCCCCTGCTTCAGCCCTCTCCCCCCTCCCCCTGCGCAGTGGCCGCAAACTCACTGATGCGCCTGCAGCATCTCGGAGTTCCTGCTGCTCTAAATATTAAAATAATTATTTCATTTTCTGTTCCTCACTTCTGATTACCTTCAATGGTGTCTGTTTGTTGCAACCAGCAGGTACAAAAACTAACTTGTTTTTATTTGACTATTTTTCTGTCCTGTCTGTTTATTATCTTCCTGCATCTCCTCTCAATCCTAAAGAGAAACTGCTACCTGGGTTCATATATATTCACCTAATGAGTTACCTTTGAACTGCAGTTCTAAAAGATCTACCGACCGCAAAAACAGCGGAGTGCTCGCTGCTTGGTGGCCGCATCAGTGATCGGTGCGTCACCGGATGACAAGGTGATGTGCCCCGCTCCACAGCGAAACGCATCAGGTGCAAATAAAAGACAGAAAACATTAAAGGAAATGAACCGACATGAACGATCGCGTGTTAAATTAGCTTTTGAGGTGACGACACCTGATTTGATAATGTTACTGTGGCCGTGCTCAGGACGCAGATCTACCGACCGCAAAAACAGCGGAGTGCTCGCTGCTTGGCGGCTGCATCAGTGATCGGTGCGTCACTGGAGGACAAGGTGATGCGCCCCGCTCCACAGCAGCGAAACACATCAGGCGCAAATAAAGGACAGAAAACATTAAAGGAAATGAACCGACATGAACGATCGCGGGTCAGTTCTGACGCTCTGGCACAGCGCGTTGGCCTCCCCCCCACCCCCCACCCCCCCAGAGCGCAGGAGCTTGTCACCTGCTGATAGCAGGCTGCTGTCTTTTCCGAGGGCTGCATCTTGCCGGTCATCATCACGTGACAGCGACTAGTCGATGACAGGCATAAAAAGCCACTATAGTGAAGTCGACTAGTTCATACAACCCCTATTGCTCCCCAGTGTTCTGCAGCATAATCAGCACGTTCTCTTTGCACTTGATATCAAATTTTCGCCTCCTCTTCGTCTCCACACGGTTAAAGTTACCCTCGCGGTCTATCACTGGCAAATCAAAAGTGAGACGGATGACACAACCGCCCCCCCGTACTTGCTTGTTACCACATTCCACCCGGCCACAATAAGAGACCGGCCATTATTCACCTCCGCTGACTCCGACACCGGCCAAAATATGAGACCCGGCCGTTAATTGAATACAGGCCTGTATTAGAGGATTTACGGTACTTTGATAGTAGAAACTGTATTTATGGCTTACTTTTGTGCATTTAAAGTTCAGCCGCCATTGATAGTTGTTAAAAGTTGTTAAACCTGTGCATATGAAACAAAAAACGGTTTTTGTTTATCGATTTATTGTGAAATAACGGAAGCTGTGCTTGCTCCCTTTCCTGTTGGGCGGTTGTGATTTCTGTCCATTGACTGCGGAGGTGCTCCGGCGTCCGGCAAAAATAGAATCAATTCTATTTTCGCCGGACACCGGAACAGAGGGCGGTGCACTGCCGGAGCACGGCCGCAGTAGTGGAATTGCTCTGATTGACTACAACGGGACCAATTTTGCTCCGGAGTTCGTGCCGGAGCAGAGCGGAGGTAGTGGAAGAGTCAGAGGGGGTAGGAGCAGATCCTGACAATGACATGTACCGTCATGTACAAATTTCTAAAAAACATCATTTGTAATTCCTGAAAGGGGAACATTTCAGATTGCAAGTTTAAGGGGTTGGTAATGATTTGTTTAGTGGTTGTTGCCAGACGTGTGACCAAGTCACTGCTTTGCAAGTCACAAGTAAGTCACAAGTCTTTCCAGTCAAGTCTTGAGTCAAGTCCAAGTCAAAGACAACCAAGTCCAAGTTGAGTCCAAAGTCAATGAATTGGAAGTCCAAGTCAAGTCAGAGTCTTTATCTTTGAAATTTCAAGTCATATCAGGTCTTCTGTCCCACTTCAATTTAATGACGATGATAATAAATAAACTCCAGAAATAAAGCTTCTTAAAGCTTCATTTGCTCAAACGAGCAGAAAGTGCAACTGAAACTGATTATGAACAAAGTGCTGCTGCATTTAGCAGTAAATCAAACCCAGAACCAAGAACCATTTATGATTTTTGTCCATGTCGTGCAACTTTTGAGATAAAATACCAAATATGCTCAAGTCATCATCAAGTCAACAGATGCAAGTCGATTCAACTCGCAAGTCATTGGCGTTCAAGTCCGAGTCAAGTCATAAGTCTTTATAGATTTCATCAAGTCAGCAGTCATTAAAAATAATGACTCGAGTCCAAGTCATGTGACTCAAGTCCACACCTCTGGTTCTTGCCAATGTGACGACAGATTACTCAAAGAATAATTGTAGATTTCGTTTTTGTTTCATTGCTTTAAAACTAGTTAATGCAGAATCTATGAGTGTGACTTAGTTTGTACATGCGGTACAATTCTAACAGTTCTATGACACAATTTTCCAACAAAACATTTTTACCTCGCTAATCTTGCATTTGATTGTTAAAATATGAAACATTAAACATGAAATTTTGACCTGAGCTTGAAAAACACAGAGGTTTCCCTTCATAATTAACTATGTTACAAAGATACACAAAAGACAACATAGTGAAGTAGAGAGACGTAATAGTCGGTAGTACTACAGTTTGTTGTGAACTCAATGGTCTCTCAGATAGCCGTTTGTAGGGCTGTTAGCATTTGTTCTCTGCATTTCTGAGAGTCTACTTGTCACCACAGGTAGCTAAAGCAGTGGGTTCTGCATGTGGACATTGTTTATTCAGATGCTTTGTGTGTCATTATATAATTTTACAATGTGCTTGATGCAATGGTCATTTGGCATTGATCATTTTTGCAAAACCACAGGCGATTTTACACAAGTGCGTC